GTATCTTTGTAACGTAGCTATCAAACAGCCTCTCTCCTCGGTCCAAAGTTCGAGCAAAAGATACTTCCTCCTCATCTAGCAGCTTTTTGACTTCTTCCGGGGATCTCTTGAGCTCGGGGAAGAAGTCGCCTAGTTGGTCGACGAGCACTGGGGAAACGGACGAGAAAAAGGAGCCAATTGGTGCTCCAAGCTTCTTGCGAGCATATCTTGCACCACGGCGTAATATGCGTCGCAAAACGTAGCCTCTTCCGATGTTGCTCGGCACACCCCCATCGCTCAGGGCGAAAGTAAGGGTGCGGACGTGGTCAGCGATGACTCGGTAAGCGGTGTCGATACCATCCACATCTTCAGCTCCAAATTTGCCCGTATAAGGACGTACTCCTGAGACTTCTTGGATCCTTTGAAAGATGGGTTGGAAAATATCGGTGTCGTAGTTAGACAGAACGTCTTGAATCGCGGAGACCAGTCGTTCGAAACCCATGCCAGTATCAACATGCTTCGCAGGAAGACTCTTAAGACTTCCATCTTCTTCTCGGTTAAATTGTATAAAGACGTTATTCCAGATTTCAACCACGGTCGGGTCATCCGCATTGACAATTTTGGCGGCATCTCTCCCTCCAATGCGGTCATAGTGTATTTCACTAAAATAATAATGAGAAAGAGGAGAAAAATTCACTATGGAAGTACTTGCCTACATGGTCCACAAGGTCCAGTGGGTCCCATCTCTGTTGTGATGTAAACGGGCTGTCTATTGTACGTTCAATAAAAAAAACTCGCCCCAAAAGTTATCCTTGGCATTTCCCTTTACGATCCTTTCTTCTGGAACACCTATATCCAGCCATATTTGCCTCGTCTCCTCGTCCGGGGCAAGCCCTTGCTTCGGATCACCCTCAAAGTAGGACACATAAAGCCTGTCAACTGGGAGCTTATAGACTTCTGTGAGTAATTCCCAAGCCCATGTGAGGGCTTCTCTCTATACACATTGTTAGATTCCGCGTGCTTCCTTATTGTTTACAAGAACTGACCTTGAAATAGTCTCCAAACGACCAGTTCCCAAGCATTTCGAAGAAGGTGTGATGATACGAGTCTTTTCCTACATCTTCCAAATCTGATCTCTCGTCAGCAAGCTACAAACGTTGCTCGGTCTCTTCAACCAACCGTTGTGTTTACCGCCAGCACGGATACATTTCTGACTATTGACTGCACGCTTAAGCTTGCTCATGTCTGAATTTGGATCGACTGTTCCAAGGAAGACAGACTTATACTTGGGGGACGAGTGAGTGGCTTGAGTTGAGACCATAATAAAATACCATGAGAGCTAACCTGATTCATACCAGCGTTGGCAAACAATAGTGTAGGGTCCTCGAATGGGATTGTAGAAGATGATGGCCAGAAAGTATGGCCCTTACTCTTGAAAAAGTCGATGTAAGTTTGTCGAACCTTGGAAGCAGTCCATGGCCCTTGATACGGTGTCGTGGACATGGTGCGCAATATTCCAAAATAAAAGGAAGTCAGACGCAGACGAGGTCTGGGATAGGTTGTCCTGACTATTATCGATGAGAGGCGTAAAGGCATGCACGTGACATCGAGTCAGCCAAACTCAGCTCCCCTCCGCAGATTATCCCCAAATTCGATACGAAGATACATAATATTTCTATTCTTGTACTTCTAATTAGAAAGAGCTCATACATCAACAGAGACTGTTCTCATTGCTTCGGTCCCATCTAAATGGACCTTCTCATAGGATGCTGTGAGATTGAGTCAGACCACATTTCTCATGAAAGCAAGATCCGAACCGTTTGCTTGTATTTCCACTCCTGGAGAAGACTCGCAGTCCTTGATCTGTGTCTTATCGCCT